GGAATTGAGGATGAGATGAGATCAGCTCGAAGGGCTGAATTGCTTACATCAGCTCCTAGTTCTTATGTCCTCATGTAACAAAAAGCTGTGCACAGGGGTAGGTTCTAACAAAGTGGAGCGAGAGGTGGTACAAGTGTAAGGTGTTAGAGCCTAGGCAGTGAAGCTAAGAAAGGATGATTAAAATCAGGCATGCCTACGAAATTAGAATTAGCCAGTAGAGGTTGAGGAGTGTGTGGATGTGATTACAGTGGCTGGGGCAGAGTATAGAATCCCTACAGTGCAGATGGAGGCCATTCAGCCCATGGAGTTTGCACCGACCCTCCAAAGAGCATCCCACCCTATCTCCGTGGCCCCACATTTCCCATAGCTAATCTATCTCGCCTGCACATCCCTGGACACTATGCGTAATTTAGCACAGCCCAATCCACCCTAACCTGTACATCTTTGGACTGTGGGAGGAAACCGGAGCACCTGGCAGAAAATCACACAGGCATGTCACATTTAAAATGCCATGGCAGATGGTAATCTCTCTTTCCTCATTAATCAGTACTATATAACCAATCAGGGCCAACTCAGGACGACTGCTAAGATCATAAACTGACAGGATACATCTGGCAAATAAACTATCATGTACAGCAGTCTGATTTAGACAGTAATGTTTATAATTGCATGAGGATTACTCTATGTGGTAGCTTTTTAAAATCATTAACTGGGGTCTGACTTATGAGTACAGAATGTAGCCATGAAATGGCCCTTAACCTGTCCGTGGGCTTCCTCCTATAAGAATGAACTTGTAAAGAGCCAAACTGAAGTCACGTTGAGAATGCAGGGATCTTTTGGACATGGGCCAAATGCAGGCAAATGGGACTAGTTCAGTTTAGAAAACCTGGTCAGCATGCAGGAGTTGGGCTGAAGGGCCTGTTTTTGTGCAGTATATCTCCATGACTTTATAGGAATGCAAGATAAAGACAAAAACACTGGAAAAAGGGTTAACATGTCCAGCAACATCGGTGGATAGAGATATATAGTACATCTTTTTCTTTCTATTCATTGACGGGATGAGGACGTCACTGGCTAGGCAGCATTTATTGTCCATCCCTAATTGCCCAGAGGGCAGATCAGAGTCAACCATATTGCTGTGGGTCTGGAGTCACGTGTAGGCCAGACCAGGTAAGGATGGCAGTTTCCTTCCCTAAAGGACATTAGTGAACCAGATGGGTTTTTTTTATGACAATCGGCAATGGACTCACGGTCATCATTAGATTCTTAATTCCACATATTTTTATTGAATTCAAATTCCACCATCTGCCATGGTGGGATTCGAATCCAGGTCCCCAGGACTTACCTGGATCTCTGGATTAGTCCAGCAATAATACCATTAGGCCATTGCCTCCCCCAAGTTGATGACCTTGCATCAAAACATTTCTGGTGAAAAAGCACTGGATCATTAATTTTCTTTCTCTCCACAGATACAGTCAGACCTGCTGAGTATTTCCAGAATTTTCAGTCTTTATTTCAGATCTCCAATATCCTCAGTATTTTGCTCTTGTTGCAGTCGGGAACTACTGGCCTAACTGATACAATCTCTAAATAGGTCGTCAAGAGGAAATCCCCTGATTATCCTAAACAAAACTGGGAGATAAAAGATCATGAACCTGCATGGAAATGAGTTCCAAATTATTTTCAAAATGGCCGTTGGCACCGGGGATCAAATGTTTACTCCCTTGGAGATTTACTCAAGGCCTCTGTTTTCGGTTTTACAGAGTTTATTTCCCATTCTCACTCACTCCTTTATTAGCTGATGCAGTCACGTAGTAATGTTACCTTCTAAATTTCTGGGTTTTTTTAAGGTTTCTTTTTTTAGATAGATAGGGTGGCACAAAGCCTGACTGCATGTGTAGGCATATCTGTGTGTATGGGCTTATATATCTAAACTAAATCGCTCACCTTGAAATCTGTGAGCCAAGCCCTACTATTCTGTTGCCTACAAATTCCTTTTATAAACAAGGTGTTTTGGTGACGTTATTACAGTACATATAAATATCTTACACTCCCTTTCCAGATTGAAAAATTCTAACTACTTGACACAAAGCAACTTATTAGAAGTAAGTCTCACATCTGCAATTCCTTTTAAACATAATTCCAAGCTGCAAATCTCCCGCATTTTTTGATCTTGTTCAGCCAGTTTGAAGTTTCTCACTACATAATGTTTTTATTTAAAGTGAGTGCTGAAATACACTTTAGGATACAGTCATTCAAGGGTGCAACTGTAAAACAAAGGGGATAGGTAAAGTTGTCAGTCACACAGGATCAATAGCTCCATGGGCTGTTCTCTCATTAGAAAGAGACAACTGGCGGTGATTTAACCTGAGGTGCTGGAATTGAACTGCACTGCTGACATTATTCTGCATTACAAACCAGCCATCCAACCATCTAAGCTAACCAACCACCCCAACAAGGGGAATAGATGCAAGTTAGTGCTGTAGCACCAAGATAATCATCAGATGATGAACGGTACCAGATTCAGACCCAGACCCCCAACTTGGTCATGAACTGGTACTTCTGCAAGTCTTCATTTCTTACCTTCCTTCAAAAAAAATCCTACAAATTCATCAGGGCCCTGCCACTGTGAACTGTCTGTGTGGATAGCAGGTAGGTCAGGGCACAAGGCTGAGTGGCGGCTCTTCGAACCCCTGCTCCCAGCATCGTTACCACGTTTGCAAACACCTCCATCATCCTCTTTTTCTTCTTGAGCTTCTAATCCAAAGCTTCCCCTGAACATCACTGATCATGACACAACCAATAGTCTTCTGCAAGGCAGGAGCAAGAGCCAATAAGAAAGATTGCCCCAACTCCTCCAATCACAGGTCCCCTCCCAACCCCCTTAGCGCTCCCCCAATCATAGATTCTTTCTCTGAAGGAGCGTCAAGAGTGGGAGAAAAGAAACCTGTGATTGGAGAAGCTGATGCAGCAATTATGGGAGTACTAGAATTGGTGATTGGAGAAATAGTTCCCTCACAAATTGTCTGTCCTGTGGTCACTACCACTCCAAAAAAAAATACACCTTGCTTTGATCTATTGCAGGCAATTTTTCTGTTTTGTTTTAATCAACTTTTTAAGAAATGTTATGACACATTTCTGGAGCATTGGAACTTGAGCCCAGGCCTTTTGGCCCAAAAGTAGGGACACTACCATCGTGCCCCAAGAGTCCTTGTCGTAGGCTATTTGTGAGGTTTCAGGAATGAATTCACCTGCTGCCTGTGTATTTTGAACCCTGACTGGCATTCCAATTAAAGACAAAGGAGTACAGAAACCCCCATAGTTTCTACTTACATTAGATACCAATCTGAAAGCAGGGTTAGGAATCCTGCTCATTCACTTCTGTTTGGATTGGTCCAGTAGATCTGAAACAAGCCAGCTTGAGCAACTTGCAATTCACTTCAAAAATGTAACAGTGTGCAATCATGTGCAAGTATCTCCCTTCTGACCTGATGAAGAAAAGGCATGGACGAAGCAGCTGAAGATTATTAGGACTGGAATACCCCTGTAGTGATGCTCTAGGGCTGAAACTGGCTAGCTTCCAATGACCACAGCCATCTTACTTGTTTCTGGGTATGATTCCAATCAGTGAAGGATTTACCACAATTGGCCTTGCCATCACTCTGGCAAGCCTGTGCCTGACAAGGATTCTTGAGGTACGATATCCCAGATAAGATCCAAACAAGGCTCTACAAGTGAAGAATAACATCTCTTTTGTAATCCAACCCCCTTGGGATAAAGGGTAACATGCTATTAGCCTTTCTGATTGCTTTCTGCAAGGTTGCAAACATTTAACAATTTGTATTTTTGGAAATCCAATGTTTTTAAGCCTTCAAGTTGCTAGCTTCTTATGTTTTAGACAATATTGCAACATACCAATGTCTTAGGCCTAAAGACAATGATCTCACACTTATCCCACTAAACTCCATTTGAAATAGTTCTTTTCATTCTCTTAATCTGTCCGTTTCCCCTTGAAGTTCCTACTCCCATAAGCACCACTCATTATCTCTCCTAATTTCACATCAGCTGCAACACTCACTATTGTAACACTCACTATTGTAACACTCACTATTGTAA